TCCTCAAACACATTTGGACCCTAATCTCTAATCGCATAGATAACTTATGGGCACAATAGGTAAAGTCACAATTGATTAGGAACATGTATTTTTGGACTATTAACATCCCTGTGATAGAAAAAGATATTGCAGCTCAGGGGGCAGCGAGGACTATGATGAGAAGGAATGTGGGAAACAGGGCTGACACTTACTTTTGGGAGGACAATTGGCTCCAGAGTGGATCACTTACCTTTCAAACATCAGTGGAGATCATAAGTAACTCACCCATCCACCACGATCAGAAGCTCTCATCTTTAATACTAAATGATCATTGGAGCTTCCCTGACGATATTGCTCAACTTTTCCTTGAACTTGCACATATTGATCCTCCATCTTCCTCCACAGACATATCATTTTGGCTGCCATCACTATCTAGATTGTTTTCATTCTGAGATACTATGTTATGGATGTCTCCTTTGTTGCAACTTTCTCCATGGCAACATCTTATTTAGAGCTCTATATCGGTGCTAAGATGCATATTTACTCTTTGGCTTGCAGTGCAGAATAATTTACCCACTAGTGATAGGAGTTGTATGTAGTTTGTCCCTTTATCCAAGTTCTGTCATTTTTGCCAAGCAGTTGACAAATCTCACAACCATATGTTTTTTGAGTGCTCTTTCACACGACCAATTTGGATTTCCCTTCAGCACTAATGCCAATTCCACTCACCGATATTACTATGGAACGACTTCGTCGACTGGACATCATAGTGGTAGACGACCTGGAATTTGTAAAATTCAGTCAATAAACTTGTTATTTCCATTGTTGTTAACATAATCTGGACTGAGAGAAACAATAAGGCTTTTAAAAATCAGAGACGTAAACCAATTGATAATCCTAGGGCAAACTACAGACATGGTGCGACAAAGATTACTTACAAGATCCGTGCGTAACTCAGTGATGCACATCTAAGCGGTGCGTCAATAATAAAACCACCGATTAGTACAGATTCACAAAGAAATCGACTAAGTAGGGTTATTGATCCACGAAGATTGCAAAGCTTATGGCAATCAAGTTTTTAAGACTAATTTCTTGTTTATTAATGTCACAAAAGATGGTTTGAAGAGTTGTTTGTTTGTTTTTCGCTTCCATAAAAATTAAATAAAACTAAATTGAATTCAAAGATTAAAATAACAATTAAAGTGAGGCTAGGGAATTGAGTTCACCAAGAACTCATAATCATGCTTTAATGTAATTAACTTGGGGAGACAATTGCATGTAATGTTAAAGTGTAGAAGTATAAAAAAAACCATAACAATTTTTCAGAAATTCATGCAATTCAAGACTAAGCATAACCTATATTTGGTTGGCATGGCTCATCCACCTAAATTAGGGTGTGGTATGAGCCATCTTTCCTATGCATGGCCTATCAAGGTCTTGATGTTACAAGTTTTAGCACATGAGATCAATTATCTAGCATAAACCATCTTTGGTTAGCATGGACCATATACCTAACTAAGTTAATCTAGGGGTGTACCACGGTCCATCTTCCCTTGGCATAATCTATCTAAATTCATACATAACATGCCTATAATCCCATTTCATTAATCAATCTTCATTGTCACATATAAAGATATCAAGAATATAAATATATAATCATGGTTCAAAAACAAGAATTACATGGTATATATACTTACATATATATATTCTACCCATATCATACATCAATTTAATGTAAATATACAAATTGAAAATACATCATCTTCTTATTCATGAAACTCATCACATACAATAATATTCCTCAAATTAAATTACAAAGACTACATGACTACTTTGATCAAGGCTACCTAAATCCCCTAGGAGGCGATTTAACTCATTCTGGTGGTGGTTGAAGAGGAAGCCTCCATCTTCAGCTCCATGGCAGGCACGCCCAAGGACACTCAAGAACTCTAGCTATTCCTCACTTTCTCTCTCTAGAAACTTACAAATTTTGAATTCTCAAATGATCTATTATATGAGATACAACATTATACATGTGTATATAACCCCCACTGGCAAAATCCAATTCAAAAACCCTTAAAATCGTGCATTCATGTAGAGAGGAGAGAGAAAAGTAACTGAAATTTCAAATATGCTTAAAGTTCGCAGGTGTGCGTCCAAACGCAAGGAAGGGCGTCTAGACGCTGAGTGTCCAGGTGCTTGTCATGGTGTGCGCTGGGCGCTGGCTCGCTTAGCTTGTGGCACTGGGCATCCGGACGCATGGTTGAGCGTCTGGACGTAATTTCGTCTGGCTACTAGATTTCACTTTTCAACAAATTGAATTTGTTGGTCCTGAATTACACATGGCATCCGGACGTAAGAATTGGTCATGGAACTTTCGTCCGGACGCCAAGCCTGATGCTTCAAGGCTGACTTCTTTATCTCTTATTCAACTTCACGGATTCGACTTCTTTCCCAGGCTAAGTGTGCCTTTGGACTTAGGTTCATTTTGTCGGGTTCTACCTCGCCAAATACCTTGTTCATTAAAAGCCCTATTTTACATAAACCCTGAAAAAAATAAATATACACGAATTTACATACTTTATTAATATGCTAAATAGACTAAATCATGTAATTAAAGGCGCTTAAATATGCAATATTTGACGCTTATCACTCGGTTACTTCAATACGCATGCAGGACTGGGATTTCTCCAAATCGTTCATGCGGCACCAGATTGATTAATTTGGCCTCTGACGCACATCACCAAAGTGTATGTTGAAGACGGAGTCATCTATAATCTAGGTCTCTTAGACTACAACTGACTCAGGCCTTTGCACTGACCCTTTGGGCTGGGTAATTATGGGATTGTCATTGTTGTGGACTCAATATTTTGGGCTTGCCTATGTTGTGGGTTCCCTTGCTTGTACATTCTTCTTATATCCATACAATACATTTACCTTCCCACCCACCCACCCACCCACCCACACAAAAAAAAAAAAAAAAAAAAGAAGTTACCGATCATATAGTGCAACTTAATAAAAAATTTATTTAATACCCTTTTTTCTTGCTTTCTGGTATATGCATAGAATTTTAAGTAAATCATCGAATGTTTTATGAGATGGATTATGCTTTAGGAATGTAATTAATTGACTAGAAAGCCCAAGTGTGGAATATATAAAAATAAATTATTCTCTCTCTCATTGATAAGGCATAGTTAAAGGCCTTAGCTCAACAAATTCTACATACTTACCTTGGAAAAAAAAAAAAAAAAAAAAATCTACACGCTAGTACACTTATAAATTTTCATAAAAAATTTAATAATAATATTTTAAAATCGAATTCAGCAGTTACCGAATTCAAATTATGAAATTATGTGATTGGAATGGTCAGCCTCATCATGTGACATCATCATGACGTCATATAATGAAACTCCCCACCACCCCTTTCACAGAAATTAAATTCGCTAGCTACCAAATTCATTCCCTAAATCATTACTCATAGTTTAATTATCATGTTTAATAACTTTCAAATCTATTTTATTTTTTTTCCCCAAAATTTATTGCTTTTCCTTCTTTGATCAAACATTTGTTTTACCACTTGGAGATAGATCTTTTCAAATAATTGTTTTAAGAATTTATCATTTTTCATTTTCAATGGAATAGAATTGGATTTTTTTTTTTTTTTTTTTTTCCCTTTGTAATAACATTTTATTTTAAAATATATATGCTACTAAAATTTTCTAGCTTCATCTGGACTCTGCTCGTTTCATATTCTGAAATTTAGGGCTCATTCTGCATTGCACTGATTTGGGCTTTATCCATTAATAGTTTCTAAAATCAATTGGGCCAATAGGACAGTCTAATGATATGGGCTCTGGCCCACTTCCATTTATGTCCTATCTGTCTCTTCAGTTTAGATATTTGGTTGTTCTTTGCACACAATAGCACACAGCTATAGAGATCCGGAAAACACGCAAATTAGATTCTCTTCACCTTTTGTACTACAATATTCACGACCCCATGCTTAGATCACGTGGACCCTAATGGACCCTCCTATCTCTACAACCTACTCCATCCACGTGGAACCGCATGTGCCATTTATAAAATACTCTCTCTAACCCTTTTTCTTATCCATCACAATTGGTCTAAGCAACAACCCACTCACACCAAATCTCTAGGTCCTCAAGCAATCACATGCGTACACCGGCAATCCAAAACCAATCAACCCCTTTTTGGATACATTCGACAACTATTTTGCTTTTCGATTTCATAAGAGCTTTTTTAGAAATTATTCATTACAACCGTTGCAATGAACAGGCAATCCGAAAATCCCTTTTAGGTCACACTCGACAACTGTTTTCTATTTTGCTTTTTGATTTCATAAGAGTTCTAATGATGAGAAATTATTCATTGCAATCGTTGCAACGATGACGTGGTGTAACGGACAGTTACAAACAATCCACTAACACATATATTAACTTTTTGGTTTTATTGTAGGTCCACTTTGTTTTGATAGAGTGTTTGTAATCATCTGTTGTACCACATCATCATTGTAGCAATTGCAATGAATAATTTCTCCTAGTTGAGCCCAAACTCATAAAAAAGTGTCATACAGAGCAGGAGTAGGAGCAAGATTGAATTCAAAAGCTGGAGCAAGAGAGCAACGAGTCATATAGAATGAGAAAGAAAGAGAGAGCGCATAGAGCGGGAGTGCGTTCGGAATGTGAGAGCAACAATCATTGACTAGAATTGTGTGACTTAGATCTAGACTCAAATTATTTACATAGAAATCAACATAAATTGTGTGAAATGTGGCACACTATTACGCTTGGTACTTTTCAATTGACATAGGCTCATGTATAGCATATAGCTCCACCATGTTGGCAATTTATGTAATTACATGAAAAGATGGAGTTCCGAGCGGTTAAGAAGTGATGAACGTGGCGGCGGATGGGACCCAGTTGCATAAAAAGGCGTGGTGGTGCATCGCAGAGAAGTACGTCAATGTCCCCGGTGGTTGCTTCTTGTTGCTTTCTGTATGTTTCTCTCACTCTCTTCTTCAAGCAACGAACCATTTTGCAACACACATGCGTATTACATAGCCCTAATATATATATATATATATATATATATATGCACACACAACACATATACATATAGAGAGAGAAAGTGTCGTTGCAGAATCGGCGAGAGAGGAGATGGTTTCCGAAGGTGGAGTCAGATCTAGGGCAATTTTAACTGGTACGTTAGCTTTTGATTCTTTCTACTTTTGTGTTCTTGAGAGATTCGATTAGTTCATAGAATTGAATTGATAAATAAACTGCATTTTCACTTCAATTTTTGATTCGAAAATTGCATAAGAACTCCTAATTACTCCATTGCTCTTGGTCTCGACCCATTAATTATTGGGTTTTTCTTTTTATAGAGAGAGATTAGAGAGAGAGAGTTGAGGGATGGTTGAAAGTTGAAACTGAAAGGCATATATAGTTAAATTGATTCAATGGTTTTTGCAGGGGTTTTCTTTGTAGAATAAAGTAGAAATCTTAAAAAATGGCGACCGACACTGATCATCATCATCATCACACTTATTGCAACAACTGGTCACGTTCTGACTGCCTACCTTCAGACCCCCAACACCCTCAGGTATTCACTACTCTATCTCTTTCTCTCTCTCTGCCATTTTGATATGCTTTTTTATCGGTTGACGATTTAGGGACTGTATTGTTTATTTAAATAACTCACAGAACATGAACATGGTATTGATTTTGGTTGGATTTTAAAAGGGTCTGTTTGGATTGCGTGAGTCAGTGAACACTTAACGAAATGAGAAATTAGATTGACGTACAGTAATTAATTCAAATAATTTGGGATTATTGTCATAGTTCTGTATTCAGGTATTAGCCGCCATACTGTTCATACTTCAGATTGAGCAAATTGAATGAATTTTCAGGTTTATTATCGGCAAAAATAGAAGAAGAATTTGCAGCTGAGGAAAAACTAATGCATTCTAAGAAAATAAATAATAAATTAGGCAGGATGTCTTTTGGAATTGACGGTAAAAACTGTCAAAACTGACATGGAATGAAGAAATTAAAAATGATTTTAGAACATTGAATCTTAGAGGGGACATGGTGTATAATAGAATGGTATGGAGAAAGAGAATCCATGTGGCTAACCCCATTCATTTGGGTAAAAGGCTAGGATGATGATGATGAGTAAGTAATTATTAGGAATTTACAAGTGAAACCAAAATTTCAAAACCAAATTTGCAGAATTTCATATTGATTTCACAACTATTTAATAGGATTTTTGGATAACTCTGGATAAAAATACAGGGAAAATTCAGAATTTTGTAAAGACATTTAATCATTAACACACAGATTTTTACATGTTCATTAAGGGTGTTTGGTTGCCCTTTAAAAGGAAATCACTTCAGTGTGGATTTATGTCCTTTATAGCTTGCTTATTGCTTACATGATAACATCATGATGATAAAGCATGACTGAACACATTTAAAATATATATATATATATATATATATATATATATATATATATAGAAATTTATATATGTATATACATGACTGAACACATGTCTGATTGGTGATAAGGTATGAAAAGAGATACAAAATTTCCACTTAAGTAAAACTGACAGCTATTTGACATAAAGTTTTGATAAACGAAAATACATAAAAGTTACTTTTTTACTTTCTTATTTCTAAAGCAAACAGAGAATAATAAACTCTTATAAATGCAATGCATAGTTAATGGATTGATATAATCATTAAAATATTTAAATGCACGAAAGGATACTTATAATCACTGGTACAAAGGACAGAGCCAGCTGGCCCACTATTTTTTTAATATATATGTATACTTATAATTCTATAATTTGTAAAATATTACATACCCCCCTCGAAAATTATCTTTTTCTATAAATCTGTTTAATTCTTTCTTTCTTTCTTTTCCTTCTTACTCTTCTTCCTCCTCTTCACTTGTTATTATTATTATTTTTTTATTATCTTCAAATAAATTTGCATTTCTTTTCTTCAATCAAACCCTAATTTTTTTGAACAAGTTATTTTGACCATATATGCTTAAAGATAGTCTTCTAAGACTAAAGATAGTCTTTATGTAAAATATTCCAACAAACTCCATTTTCAGGTGAGTAGAAATGATTTTTATAAAATTGGTGTGATTTTCAAAAAATAAACAAGTTGGATAGTACTACCTAGGTTGAATTCTGTGGCCATAATCAAGCCAATGTGCCCAATATTGATTGAGTCAATATTACTTATCAAAAAACAAAATATATGGATTGAGTCAATATTGCGTGTTAAAAAATCAACGTGTCTAATGTTTAACCACCACACCATCCTTTTATTAGTTATTCCATTACACCATCGTAAGCCCATTTAGTTGATTTTTATTTTATTTTTTATCAAGTACACTACCCCACCCCGTGCCAAATGAAATCTTGGCTCTGTCCCTGACTGGTACATTGACTGTCTGCCTGATGGAGAGTATTCTCATATTTTTTGCCTTATGGATTTATTTTTACTTTTTTTTGTCTTGAACTCTACAAGCAGGAAGTATCCATATCTGAACTTATTGATCATGGTTCAATATCTTTCGGAAGATTTGCTGCGGAGTCACTTGCATGGGAGAAATGGTCAGTTTTTTCTCACAACAGGTATCAGGAGGAAGTGGAGAAGTTCAAGGCCCCTGGTCTAGTTGCTCAGAAGAAGGCATACTTTGAAGAATATTACAAAAAAATCAGAGCCATGAAGAAAATGCAGGCAGAGCAACAAGAAACCAGCCACGAATCAGATCCTTGTCAAGAAGAACAAAGCACAATTACAGAAGCAGAAAGCAGTGTCAGCAACATTACCAAGGCAAAAGAGGAAAGGAAACCCAATAATGCTAGTCAATTTATAATTCTGGAAACTGCCACTGTTACTGATAAGGAGCCATTTGGAGAAACTTCAGGTAATAATTTGTCTGTTACTGAGCAAGAGAGTAATACCCGTGATGGAAGTGTTAGCAATGGGGATGAAATCTCCTCATCCACCATCAAACCAGAGCATTTTGCTAACAAAAGTGTGCCAAAGGCAAAACCTACTCCATCAGTTAAAAGGTTTTCAGGAACTACACGGCAAGAAAATCTTTTCTCCAGCACACTTGGTGTGTACAAATCAATGGATCATGCACCTCTTATGAAAGATAAGGTGAACTTTTGGTGTTCGTTTTCTTTTCTTTTTTTCTTTTTATTGTCCTCACTCCTAACTCAAATTTCAAAAGAAGCAAATTAAAAAAATAAATCAATAAAAGTAGTGAATTACATGCTTTTGAGAATAGTATGGCATTTGCTACCTGCCTCTTCAAATAGATGGTTAATAGTTGAAAGTCATGTCAATCGGCAACATGACAATATCTTTTGAAAATTCACAATGAAGGATCACAACTTGGTATTCATCATATGAAATATCTCTTACTTATCAGTTCCTTAAAGGTGTAGAAACAATTGGAAAGCCAGGGGAAATAATGGTACACTCACATAGTCCTGTTGTTCCAGGCTAACCTAATTCAGTACTCACAACACTACCATGCATGCTGTTATTTTATTGTAATGCACTCCTGCCATATTAAGCAATTGGTTCAGTTCATATCTCCTCAATTATAGTAGTAATTTGGTTCTGATCTAACACCATGTCTCGGTTTGTTTTCACAACCAAGCAGACTGCTGCTTCAGCTAGAAAAGAAACAAAGGTGGAGTGCAGAACTATGAAAAATGCTGTTAAGCCAGCTGAGAAACCCAATTCATCTCTTGATAGGGATATTACTAGCAAGAAAAATGGTCTTGTTTCAAGCAAAAAAACTACATCTAAGGTAGCAAGCAACAAGTCCACCACTGATTCTTCATATAGATCAAGTACTGAGGTACGGTCCAGTGTCACTATTATGAGAGATTCTGTTTTAAAGGATAAGCCAGCATCTTCTTCTGCTAGTATCAGAGGTGGTGTAGCAAAGGCAAATATGAATTTCAAAGGCCTGGGAAACAAGGTACCAAAAGTTCGCCACTTTTGTTGAAATAAACTTCTTGCATGAGTGTATTTAGTAACTGGTCCATGGCTTCTATTTGCAGAGCACTTCAAAGGAGATCACTGTCACTGGTGCTGCAAGAAAAATGGATTTAGAGAAAAGGTTTGTTGCCATGAAAGTAACACGTCATTTTCTTATTTGGAATTAGAGACTTATTGACAGTGATAATATTTAATCTTTCAGGACCCGTGCTGGGGTTGCTGGGAAGTCTCTGGAGTTGAGCAGCTGTCATGTGATACCAAAGCGAGGACAATCCGAGAAGCAGAAACTAAAAGCCATGTAATGCATTTTTGTCTCAAGCCTGTGTTTCTTTCAATTTGGAACTCATTCAAAAATCTTGGTTACATTATTGTGAGTTTTTCTTTGGTTTGAATATGAAACTAAATGTTAGCATTTGGAATATACCCAGGTCTGTGCCTGTTCAGAATAAATCAAGTCAAAATTTTGGGAACGAATTTGGGAGTAACAAAGTCAGAGGAAGACATAATGAGGTAATCATAAACAGCCATAGTTCACTGCAGATATTTTATGTCATATATTCTGATATCTGATGATGGTGGCTTGTGTAATCATTTGGTTGTATTTGTTGGTTTATATGGATAACTTTTCTTTTTATCCCTCTTTTTGCTGGTAAGGTTTGAAGTTGAGATTTATTTTAAACCCACACCATCGCGAGCCAAGGACCAGGGTCATGGGCCCATGGCAGCTATATCTCCACCAAAACTTTTCTAATTTTCATGCTTGTGTTCACATATATGGAGTAGTGTTATTTATTTGTTTTAATGGAATACTCTTTTTTGCCACAACATTTGAATTGAGTTGGTGTCTAGTGGTTGAGTTATAGTTGTGAGCAATGTTGAATTTGGGTATTGTGTAGAGTTGGAATGATTCAAAATTTAAGATTTAAACTGAAAATTATCATGAAGAATATCTGCCCTAGTACTGACAACATTCAGCCTGAACGCAAGCAATTAAGGATAACTAAATCCATGTTTTTTTGTTTTTTTTAATGATAAGTAAGATTTCATTAAAGGGTACTCAGCCCAAGAACAAAGGCAATACCAAGTATCTGCTATATAATCAATGTAGGATAATAAAATGCATGTTAGGGAAAAGAAGAATATATTTTACCATAATGAAAAGAAAAATTGCTCAGAATAAGTCAGGAATGCAACAGATAGTTTGGTAAGATTTAGAAAAATAAATGTCATAGGACATTTCATGAGATTATGAAAATGTCCTACGAGACAAAATTTGGTTGTATGTATTGATCATGCATAGGTACAGTTCACAGTTGTTTCAGGTATTCTGTAAATCACACTGAATTTGGAAGATTGACCATGTTCTTTTGTATGTGAACAGGTAATTAATGCTGGTAGTGGAAGAGTTCCAAAGCCTGCCTCATATTTGGCATCAGGCACTATCAAAGCTCCGAATCAGAAACTGGAGCATAAGGTTATACCATATCAGTATTTTCATTTCATAGTTTTAGGGGTTTTCCTGAAAAAAAAAAAAAAAAAAAAAAAAAAAAAAAAAAAACAAGTAAATTTGCTCTTCCTTGCATTTGAAATTTTTTATTTTTATTTTTTATTATTAATTTTTTGGGCAGTACTTATGAATGTTTTCCCCCACATTTACAAATATAATTCCTTGTCTTTTTTTATTTATAAACAGTGTTTCTCTAGTGTTACTTTCTCCTTTTGTGAACAACTATTGTAAATGAAAATTATCTATTCACCGTTTTCAGGTTGGACCATGGCATTCTGTAGATCTAACACACGCTCGAAGGGAACCCGGGTACGATGTTCTATCTGAATTTGTCAAATCTAAGGTCCCCACTTAGAAACTGTATGTTAGATGTTGGCTTTGATCAATCATACATTAAAATTGACCAAAAAGGACTTGTAACTGTCATGATAAAGGACAGTTGGACAGACATGGGTGTGCATCACAGATACACACAAAAGATCTGTATTACCTAATACCAAGCATGTATGAGTTTGCAATAGGACTCACCCAGGTTTACCATGCAGGCACAAGATGCCAAGCTGGCGATGAGAGTAAAATCTGATTAGAGTTCGGTGCTACTGTAACTGGTAAAGAGACTCTGCTGAAGGCCCTCTTATGGCTTGCAAAATGCAGCAAACCGGTGGTCCAAAAGGTATAGCGGATGCAAGAAAGCCGACTGGAAACGTCATCAGAGTAGCTTGAGAATCGAAGTAGAGATACGTTACAATTACCTTTACAAACAACAATTGATTTATGATGCTGAAGCTTATACAGAATAAATTTGTATATGCTGCTTTGCTCGGTCGACAGCAAATGATGAACCAAGCAAAGGAACAAGGTCAGCTGTTAACGAAAGAATTTAGTTCGGCACCATCTTCCTCCATATCAGTCTCTCCAACTTTATGTATTTAACACAGTCCGTGTGATTGGTGACCATAAAACTGGTGCCACATTAATAACTGGTGCCACAGCAATATGTAAATGTAGATCGCTTGTCGTCCGATTATGATTTCATTTTAACCTAGCTCATTTTTTTCTTCTTACAAATTGATTGGGAGAAAATGAAAGAACAGTATTACTTGGCCCAATGATAAAAGGTATGTACTTTTTAACAGCACTTTAGAAGGTTGTAACTCTGATTTATGGAGCTGTATTAACATAATATAGTGACTTTAGAAGCTGCATATGGCATTTGGAACGTCTTATTGCAGTCTGTTGTTTGTATGAATCTTATCTTGCATATGATCTCACTTTTGAGTTTCGGCCCTTGATAGTGTATTTAGGCACAACCTGCTTGTGGAGCCCATCAATAGTCGCACGGCTTGTTTGTTGGGCCACCATGATCGGTGGGTCTCACAAGCATCTATATCTACTCACGGTATCTGGGAGAAGTCAATTTAGACCCTTGGTTGGCATTGGCAATGGGAAAATATCAAGGGTCGGCAATGGGAAAATATTTCTCTTCCGGTGTCGTGACAGTATGGAACATTGACTCCTAGTGAATATTTTTTTAATCGGACACAGCAAGATACGTTTTGGATACTTGTATGGTTGGGTGATTTTGTAATTATTTTTAAAAAAAAAATTGAATTCAATTCAATTTAAAATATAATATGAGTTAATTAAAAATATATATAAAATTTAACAAATTAAAATAATAAAAATTTAACTTTAAATTCCAAATTATTAATTTATTTATGATTATACGGATAAAATGGCAATATATATATATATATATATACACAGTATATAACTTACTCACCCTGAACCACACAGAAATAACATTTTTTCTTGAAACATCTCTAAAATTTAGAATCAGGATGCACCAAAGAAGGCAAAGAGAAGCCATTCTCCAACAGCAATTTCTTCATTATTTCTTATCCTAAAACCCTAACAACCAAAAAGTTATACATATATTCTGGTAGTAGCCCCAAAATACACCAAGACAAGAAACACCAGATGCCAAAATTCAATTACTAATTTTCAGAAAAAATAAAATAAGAGAATAATGTAGAAAAAAAAATACCATAACATTTTGAAAGCGCAAGTAATAAACTGGTTATGATAATCTTACTTTTCCTATCAAAAAATCAAAAATAAAAGATATAAGTTGATACAAAAATGTAATGGTGTAAATGGTGGGAAAAGATTCATTTATGAACATTCTCATGATAAATGCCCTCAAGCTTCATCTCTTGTTAATTCAAAATCTGTCGATTAACAACCTCAATGCTTTTGTAGAAAAAGCTTCTATATTCTAGTTTTTTTGTAGCAAGAAATTGAATAGATGAAAAAGGAAAAAGAAGGCATGACATAAAAGAATCTAATCTCAACCTAGAGAAGCAGCTTCCCCAACTTTGGCTAAAATTATCATTTACCACACAACTGGAAAGTTCGGCTTGAAACCTTCTCTCTATGAGTGGCGCAAGCACTTAGAATCGATGTATCAAGTCAACATGCTTTACTCTGATGATTCTGATCTCAATCTAGAGAACCTTCCTACCAAATCTCTCGCTACACTTCTCGCTTGGCTAGAGTTTTGCAGCCTCTTCAAAATTCTCCTATAAAGTGAAAATTGTGGTTTGAGACCCTTGTCCATCATTTCGATTAGAATGTCTATGGCAACACTGAGCTTTCCTTCTCTCTCATGAAGACTTGCAAGCAAACTGTAATTCATATTGCTCGAGTGCTCATACTTGACACCCGTATCAATTACATACTGGTGTGCCTCCTCATATTTCCCCAAATTGAAATAACCTTTGATAAAGGCAGCATGGGTTTGTGGCCGAGGTTCAAGACCAACAGACACCATCCGATCAAGAAACTGAACTGCACTATCGATCTTGCCAAGCCTATATGAGTAATAAATAAATATTTCAAAGGTTAACGCATCGGGATGACAACCCTTTTCTTGAATTTCTTCGAGCACACTACAAGCTTCAGCTAACCTCTCATTCTTACACAAACTGCTAAGGAGGTAGTTGTAGGTTGTAACATTTGGCTCACAACCGAATTGTCTCATTTCTTCTAGCATACCAAGTGCTTCTTCAAAGTGGCATTTCCGACACTTCTCACGAATGAAAATATTGTAATAGGACACCTTCCTCTCTGTTTTTCCCATCACAAACTCGGCCATTTCAAATGAGTCCTGCGAAACAAACATCTTAATCAATGCCCAAATACCAGACCCACGACATGAACCCCCAGCTTCATTTAACACATTTATCACTCTCTCTATAGATCCTTTGACCAAATCCTTATTCGAACCCAAAACCAGCAAAAACCCAAATGCCTTTTCAGTGAGGCAAATTCGATGTGTACTAAAATTCTTCAACAAACAAATCATTGTCTCATAATCATCTAACCGCCCGCAATTATCAATAATCAAACTACAAACATCAGCATTATAATACAGCTGCCGATTTCTACCTAGAACCCACTCAAAGTAACGCAATCCAGATACTCTAGCAAGATTCAGAACCCGAAATACCTCACTAACAGATCTAACAGAAAGACTTGCACCAATTACATTCAACTTCGACTCTAGGTCATTCTCATTACTCCTAATGAGCTCAACAATTTTAGAAAATTGTTTGGGAATGGCGTTTGATTCAACCCCATCAACCTTTCTCTTCTTCATCTGAGAATCATCAGACCCAACACTGTCCAAATTCTCGAATCCATTAGTTTCATCAGAAACCATAGTCTCATCCTCATCGTTCCTAATGAGCTCAATATTTTCCCTAATTTGTTTGGGACTCACATTTGATCCAAACCCATCAACACTCCTCTTCGTCAACTGAGAATCATCAGACCCATCACCATCCAAATTCTCAAATTCACTATTTTTATCAGCAAACGTGGTCCCATTTGACATGGAAGTCAAAGAGACATCGGAAGAAGATACAGAGAACAACCGAAAGAGACTCTGAGGTCTCAACAAACCATTACAACATATTGGGTATCTATAATTACACCTACAGATGGTTAAAGAATTTACATTCTGAGAAATTGGAGATGTTTGAGAAGAAATTGAAGGTGATCCAGTTGAGGAAATCAGAGAATATAGAGATTTTGAATTGGTGTTTGATTGAGGTTGAAGTGAGTGGAAGGTAGTGTTTGGAGGAGTGACAGAGAAAGAGGGTTTTAGGGTTTCTAGAGAGGATGAGAGAGAAATAGGGAGTCGCTGAGATAGAGAAGAAAATTGATAGAAGAAGTGGTTAGGATTTGAGAAGTACCTGATGAGTTTCATGCGATGAATGCTTGAGATTTCCATCTCATTTCATGTTCTCGTCGTTGCTGTCGTTGGCATTTTCCCAGAAGCCCTCACTCTCTCTTTTGGGTCATATGGCTTTGTTCAGTTTTGTGACCTATTTGTTTAGTTATAAAATAGGGAAAAATTTCTCTCTCCGAACTCTTCGTGTTTTTTAAAAGTAAAATTTCGACTGTTCTTTTATTTATTTCTTTACATATCTTATTATCAATTTTGAAAAGAAAAAATTTGTCATTTAGCTGTATTTCTCGAGTAATATTTCAAAACTTCAAAAAAAAAAAAAAAAAACAAAAAGAAAGAAAAAGGGTCCTAGCAATATTGCATACAGTGAAAAAATTAATTAATAGTTGAAGTTTCAATCAAGATTCATTATTGAAACATTGCACGCAATAATACTTGTAAAGGCATCAACCACAGTAATCAAAATTCACTATCGATCTTCATCAATTCATGTAAAAAAATGATATTTAATTATTTGTTTTGACTTGTTATTTGAATCTGATGAGAATAGATACGACCAATATTCATGAAAGATTCACTTTCTACGTTGAATGGTATAAAATGTGCTAAAATAATAGGTCAAATGATATTGTAGTGTCCATTCTAACAAAAATTAAAATTCCCGTCAGCCCATGAGAAAATACTCAAAAAAAAAATAATAATAATAATTAAAAAAAAAATTAATCATCACAACAAAAGATATTCCTTGTAACTGACCTAAACACTTAACGGGATGACCTCCGTCGCGAAGTTTTTTTTATCAGGTAAGTACTCACACACACTTCTTTGCACATTCAAGTTCGACCCCTTCCCTCCTGTTTTGAAGATAGAGAAATTATACCATTGGGCTAGAAGCCCTTTTGATAATTTATTTTTTTGAGTTGTTTTCCTGAGGAAAAACTACTCAAAGTAAAAGGCTTAAGAGTAGTGAACTGACAGTGTATATATATATCATGCAGTAGGGCATCCAAGTAGATACTAGATGAGTGAGAAACTGTTTCATGAATAAAATTTTTGCTCTTAGAATCTCTCACCATTTACTTCTGCTTCTATCCAATGAAAGCTATCTTCAGCCAGGAAGAGATGGACTCATCAATGCCACTAACAAAGATTAGTACAGAACAAATTATACCATCAATGGTGCTATGATCAGCGGACGATGAATACATAAACTTCGATAATTCCGGTTTGAGTCATTATAATTATTTGATTACAAAATGGCTTTTAGCAATCAATCAGGGCCATGCTTTACAGAGCATATTAAAAATCTAGAGGACAAAGCCGCAAAATATGTATTATTCAGCTCACGGCGTATCTCATCGTTTGCAAAATATAGTCTTCCCCAACAATAATGACGCACAAATTCAGAAGAGCCAGAAGATATAGGGAAGCACATCTCTGGTTATATAAACTCTCGCAATCATAAATCGTCAGGGGGGGCTCAGCATCTTTAAGCTTTTATAAGTATCTGATTTACGGCTGCAACTGAGAAGGCCGGCGGATTCCCGGTATCTGCAACACAATATAATAAAGTATGTTTACAGCTGATACTGGACAAACAGGGATTGGTGGAGCCAATGTCTTCATATAAAAGGAAATGCATACACATCGAAAATAAAATTCAGGAGAATGAGTACTAATTCAATCATCTTAATTCCATAAAACAATCAAGAATTTTCAGAAGAAAATAATGTGATGGAATCAGATTTACCAAACAATGATTCTGAGAAAAGTTAAAAGCGTACGTCTGAAATTGCACTTGTAGAATACGAGAAAATAAAGCATGAACTTGGAATGTGAAAAACCAAATTCTATTTATGACTCCTGTACACACAAACACATCCTTGTGTATCATGAAGTAAAATCTTGGACAGTCCCCAAGACCACTTGAAGAGAATTCCTATATTTGATGTTTCATTCCATATCCCCTATGCTGAACTATCAAATGTTTACTTAGCATGAAGTTTATCCGGCAAATCATGGAAAATCAAGAATCATATTCTCCACTTTTATGCAGTGCTTGAATTTCTAATTTTTTTGAAGTTATGATGGTTTTATTATAATTCTTGAGCATATGTTACTATAAGTTACGCTTTCATGGTGGATACGAGAAGGATGGTGGACTTCAAGCAAGGAAAACCCTAACTATTTGGGCCCAAAAAGTATTATGGAAAATTATGGGGGGCCAGATCACAAGTTAGGTTTATTTACAAAATCACTATTTTTGAGGGGCCATACATACAAATATTAAAAAAAATTGGGGGAGCCACCCATTGTGTAGCTTCAGGGCTTAGTTCTCAAGAACTAAAACCTTCATAGAAACAAAATATTAAGTTATCGACACCAACCTCAACGCCATGGGGGCCAATTCGATTGCGAGAAACAAAATTGAGTATAAGGGTGGCAAATTCATCAGGTACATCTTCCTACAAAATTCAAAGATTTTAATGGATATAAGAGAGAGAGTATTGTCAACTAAAAGTAAACTAAAGGACAGTAAAGTAAAAGATGGACCTGAATAGCGTGGCCAGTGTGTCTGACAACCACCATTTGAAACTTGCCTTGCATTTGACCAATTGTGAGAGTTCTGCAACAATGCAGATAAAGTTCTCAGTATGTGATCAAGTTCTCAAGTTTCCACAACCAGCCTTGCTGGATGATGTTTACTTCAGAAAAACGTGAAATTAGCCAAATACCACGTATATCATGTTTCCAGCTTCCTGCACGTAGGACTATAAAAGTTATGTATCACAAAATCTACAACAATTCATGAATTTGATTAATTTTTTTAATAACATATATATATATATATATATATTTTTTTTTTTTTTCTCGACAGGACAAGACAACCTTCCAACCCCAGGCCCAACAGCTGTTTGGCACTGCTTTTATTGGCAGATATGAGCAAAATAACAAGTGTATACTGCCTTCTGTTGTTCAACTTATTCACACAACAAAACTTCCATCTATCTCCAAAAACTGTTGGCGTAACACTAATTTGGACAGATACAAGCAGTAAACAAATGCATTATGTCGTCTGCTGTTGAACTTATTACATTGGTTTTAACTCTTCAGACATACAAACGCAGACACATATACCTGATTTACTAAATTAATAAACACATACTAGCATAGCAACGTACATGCATCTACACTTTAGTGATACAGTGTATGCACCAATAATAATTAAAGGAAATTACCTATTGTTGGCCTTGCCTAAGCGGGATGTTGGCAGTGGATTGTAAAAAGCAAGGTTAGTTAAACATGGGTACAGAAAAAATTTGGTTCGTATACATTTGGCTATAATTTGATTTCTGTTATAAATAGTTACAAGTTCAGCACAAAAAAATAAAAAGGGAAACAGAAAAGGTAGTGTCAACCGGTTGCCTCAAAAGCTCAAGCTTTTAGAGAATGGGTCAGACAATGTGTATTAAGCTCCAACACCCTCCCTCGTGTATAACACCGTCTTGCACATGATGAAAGTGTAAACTTGTACACCAAATTAGGGAACAAATGCAAATATGGTGACTTGAACCTATGACCTCCCAAAATCAAAGCTCTGATACCAAGTTGAAATATAAAATTTAGGGTTAATTTCACTGACACCCCCTTAGGTTTGGCCAAATATCTCTCTCAAATATCTTTCGAAAATAACTATCACTCATATTACAAACTTTTGCTCCGTTTCTCACTCACACCCCAATCGTTACCTGCACCGTTCTGACACAATGTAAAATGACTTAAATACCCTTTGACTTTGTAAAAATAACTCTTTAACCTAAAGAATTAGATAAAAAGACTAAAATATCCCTAAATATTTTGTAAATTTACAAATTATATTATATATCTTTATGGTTTCTTATGTTACATATATAGATATGGATATAGATAGCCCCCGTAGCAGCCACCACCACCATCCCCACCCCCATCAACCACTCTGTATTCAGGTGAAACAACCACGCCGAATCAACAATGGCTAAGTTGAGGCGGGCTGGAAGCGGTGGCGTGGTTCACAACAGCAACTTTAGGCGATGGAAGCGGCGACATAGCCTAGGGCGACGCTGAGGTAGCGACAGCAAGGTGGATGATTTAGGGCTTGATTTGCGAAGCGATTTGTGGGTAACATGGGTTGCGATTGGATTTGTCGGCGCCAGACACAGGATGAGAATTAGTAACAGAAAGAGGAGAAAGCGAGGAGGGAGTCGCCGCAGCCGATGAGACCTCTGTTGTGGCAGTGGTGAAGACAATATACCTTCTAGAAATTAACCCTAAAATTTACTCACTGCTACTTATATATTATTTGGTGAGTGGCAAATTAAAGGAATTCCCCTTTCTAGAATATTCTAACTCGAATATATCTCAAATATTCTAACAATCATGTTGGAATACCGATTAACACAAAAGCTTAAGCTTTTAGAAAAAAGGCCCAAGTGTGTATATCAAGCTCCAACAAAATGCTGATGTGTTTGCGTATAATAAGTTTTCTGGTTAGAAAGAGACGCAAAATTCACTATTATGTGTCTTTCTTTTGTTTCATAAGTCCCAGTTCCATGTCAACCAAGAAATAGTATTAACAAATGAGGAAACACTAGTCACTAATCATGCTATTATATTTGCTTACACAGTTGTTGTGTTTCTTTAAGAAATAAAAAATCCACTGAAAGACCCTCCAATGTATTAAAATGGCATATTATATAGCAAGTCTTTCAGTCTTTTACTTTTTCATTTCTGGTTTTACAAGAGAATACACATGACACACACAATGCATGTAATTGGAATTGGTGGGAGTTGATTGTTGGGTGACTTGTAAGAACAGAAAATATGTATGTGGTTTGTGGCCTTTTTGGCTGCAAAAGGTGAGGCTTAGAATTTTTTTATTCAAGAGTCGAGCTAAGTAGCAATGTAAGTCAGACACGCGCATGATACGAAACTGATACAAAAATATAAAGTTTTGTTTAAATAAATCTGTTAAAATAAGATAACATAGAATTTTAAGTATTTTTTAATTTCTATACTAAGAGTTACATAATTTTGAAGACAATGCTATATGTAGATCATAAAGATTTATATATTATATATGCTACTACTCTCCTACTTTGTCATTACAATTATACTTTTGCCCAGTATATATGAAAAAGTGAAATTGCATGCTTGACTTGTGATGACCATGTAACAAGTTTATAATGTTAATAAAAAAAAAAAAAATTGAAACTTTGAGGAGGGATCATATTGTTAGGAAAGGTATATATGAAAAACTGTATTGAAATTTCTGAGATTTGTAGGCAAGGTAAGGAGATAACACCTGTCCAGTCTGTCTGTTCCAGCTAACAGCAGGAGCTTTGGAACAGAACATGACAGAAATGTTTCTGAAAGGCCTTCATACCTGGAATATAAGTAAGCATTAACTAATTTGAAGTGGATATGAACGTTCACAACAGAAGATGCACAGAATATAAAGAACCTCCTATCAGTGGACGAACTGACAACAAAATCAACAATTTCTTCATGAAGTTCTATTTCCACAAGCATCAGATAATAATAAATGAAAATGCATGTTGAAAATAAATCATAATAGCAGAAGTTATTTTTTTTCTTCATAAATTAAAAGCAGAAGTTATTAGCTATAATGGGAAAACAAATATGGCTTTATTTTTCCTTATCATTTTGATTTGGATATGAAATCAAAGTATCGACCTTGCTTTCCAAACTGTATAAGTTCAAGAATCTTGAAAGACCTGAGCATGTAAATATCAAGCAAGTAGAAGACATATCTTGCAAAGAGTCAAAGCTGAACCAAGATGCCTCTGACCACAAGTGGAAAAAGGAGGAAATGCGACTGTTCTAAGATCTTTTTGCATTAATTAAAATTCATAACGGATAACATAAATTTCACTAGGTACTGGACTGCTACAAGTATCAATCGTCAAATAGTAGATTTAAGACAGGATAAAGGTGGGTTTGCCCATCCCCAAGGAACTGGATGGTCATTTCACTATTAAAACATTGTGCCTAGTTACTAGGGCTGTTCTCTCTGAAAAACTTTACTGATGGGAATGGCTGTTGGTTTGTCAACAATTACTTTGTTTGATATGCAGAAGCTAAAAATTTTCATACCCAAGTTATTTCCATCATTGAATTTATGGAGCTCATCTTTGAAAAACTGCTTTGTTTGATAGACAGTAGCTGGACAGTTTTCATACCCAAGTTATTTCCATCATTGAAATTATGGAGCTCATCTGAAAGACCTAAATAGATGATCAAATAGGACTGCTTGGATTTGATAGATTGCTGGACCGTTGCAACTCTGATTAGGTCAGAGTGCGAGCAGCAAACTAGAACTAGAAGAGGGATGAATAGGTCTTATGGATATTAATTCAAATTTTAGTTAGGAGGCAAAATATTTACTGATTGTGATTGACCTTTTAGTTTGCTTCAGCCTTACAGCTAATAATCAGACAATCATGAAAATAAATAGAGAGCAGAGACACCTTTTAGTTTGTTTCAGCCTTACAGCTAATCACACAATCATGAAAATAAATTGAGAGCTGGGACACAAAATTATTACGTGGAAAACCCTATCGACTATCGAGGGCAAAACCACAGAACCAATCCAACCATGAACAATCCATAAGATAAAAAAGATATAACTAGGTCTACAGTTCCCACACCCTAGGACCCCTAGTTACTGTAGTCAAACTCACACTCAGAGTCTTCAGACCTTTGATCGGCTCCATCACTCCGGCAAACTACTTCTCCTGTTCGATCCTTCTACTCTATATTTTGATCAATGAATTGATTTTTTTTTTTTTTTTTTTGATAAGTAAAATTCATTAAAGGCACTCAAAAGGGGAGCGCTCCCAAGAGAACAAAAAGCCGCTACCAGCGACATTACATCTTTAAACTATCAACAAAATCCAAAAGACTATCCAAGGATATACAATTTCGCCCATTAACCCAAAAGAATAAAGACGACAGTAGTCTAATGATCTTCTCCTTATTGTACTCTTATCACATATGTATGAATCTAGAGGATTCCTTAGATTGGGTGGTACAAAGAAATTTTCTTTTAAAAGGTTTTTCTGTGTCTTAGATGCTTAGAGGCATGGATAAATTAGACTGACTATAGACTTATATATATAGCCAATATAGAAGAACATGCCTTTTCGTAAATTGAAACCTTGTAGTACTCTTCGAGAGTCATTAAAAATAAACTTCGGCAAGGTTCAATTGATCGATGCATCGATCAACGCTTACTAGGAACCTCTCGATCAATTGAGACATTGATCAAGGATTATTGTAAAATTTTGATTGATCCACCCATCAATAATAACTCTGAGGAGAACTCAATTATTGAGGCCTACTGATTTTCAATACAACTTAGTTTTAAACGTTCGAAAATCACGCTTAAAGAACCAATTTTTCAAGAAACAAATTTAACTACGAATTCTTTAGCCTCACCAAGATCAAAATTAGGTCACTTGAGGTCTTTCTAAGTTCATTTCCATGTGCCTTAGGTATGTGATTGCGCTTGTAAATATCGCATCGTGTTCTTTGGAAATGTGCGTCTGCATTGTCTTCATAACTCGCAACATATTACAACCAAAGTTTTGTGTAGAAAATTGCCAACACATGGCTCATATACCTAACAAAATTCTTCGATATAGAGCTCAATGGGTCAGTTTCCCACAGAATTGGTTGATCATGTTCTATTAGAGAAGCAGTAAACATTTTTAAGTTGTGAAACTATTCTATTTTCGGCCACACCATACAGGGGCTGTAATGCAGAAAATCAACCATATTTTTCTTCTAATTCTTCTCACTCTATTTCTTATTGTTGTCCAGAAAATCGAGCAAGTATGAAGTAGGTGCAAAAAGAGAAGGCAAAAGAAAATATCCCGGAAAAAGAAGTAAAAAGACAGCAATGAAAAGGCACAAGCAGGTGATTAGTCATTCCATCTAGCAAGGCCTGTAACTTGTATAAGTGAAGCCTGCAGCACATTATTACTAGCAAGGATACCACTAACAAAAAAAATTCAAATGCAAAATATATCTCAGTACACAAAATGAAACCGGTTAATAAATACTAAGAACAAATGTTTCAAATGACCACGAGCAATTTAATAAGCTTGAAGTGCGCCATCATTCTTAAATATGCAAATCAATTAATTGAAGAAATAACTCATACCAGCCTCTCCAATATTGTTCTGTTTCTTCCAGCCGTGCACGGTGAATATAACTACAAAACCAAAATCAAGTTATACAATCTTAGGTGTCAGACTAGGATCTAATTCAAATCTATATTTTTAACTAAACACTTGAAATAAATTATCACTGAAAGTTGATAAAACAAATGGAAAACAATAAAAAAACCTCCAATATTTATTGATATTAATAACCAAAACATGTATACTCACCACTTTTTTGAATCGTCGTACTTTAATGTGCTGGGAATGGATATGCGGGCAGATTCTGTGTTTCTTAAAGAACCACTTTTGATACTCCATTCGATCTATTAGAGACATTTAGAATCAATATGACAGCCAAACGTCAATGGTAGACACAAGCTGACATAAGAAAATATCATGTCAACGTAAAAGCTGTTAAATTATACATCTTTTGTTAGAGATAACCATGTCATCTTAGAAAAGATAGCATGAACCAGTGTAGACCAACTTCAAGGATGTTAGAATAATACTGTCTATGATCAATATTATGGGAGACTAAGTTGTTAGGTTGAGAGATTAGGGTAAAGAAGATGGAAGAGAAAGTTTAGACTTTAAAGGAAAGGGCGTTGGAAATTACTTGGTTTTGAAAAGTGAAAAGTTACTGAAATTTCCAAAACTAGTTGTTGGAAACAGAAGGGTTTAAGATAAGTAGGATGCAGTGAAGATTGAAGGTCAAAAGATGACAAAAAAAATACAAATATTTTCTTTACCTAGGTTTGATTATGCACAATGACAGAAATTGGAAATGATGTTAACAATAGTATTAAAGCATGATTTGTTCAATGGAGGAGTGCTTCGAGGACGTTGTGAGATTGGTGCGTAACTATAGAAAAATTGGAAGATAATATTCTACAAAACAGCTTTTAGACAAGTTTTCATATGAGAGTGACAAAAATGTGAATGTTGAGATGGATGTATGACAAATCAAAAGAAGAATAAAATTAGAAATGAGTACATACGCAAGATGGTTGAAGTAGCAACTAGTTGACATAAAATAAGATAAAACCAATTTAGATGGTCTAGCCATGCATAACGACAACCAATAATTGCACTGGTTAGGAAGATCTGACGTAACATGGGTTGAGAGAAATAGAATTTAATTTAGCTGAGGTAATGGTCATAGATAAAGTGGAATGGCAAAACAAGATTCATATAATATTTCATTTAGTTCAAGGGGGTTTTCTAGAAAAAAACACTATAATTTAATGGGGTTTTCTGCACTTCATTTTATATGATATAATGATATGATATGATACTACGTATAACATTATAATATGATATGATATAACATTATTACAATGCTTTAGAAAATAACATTATAATGTAGAATATCATGTAAATCTATACTACATAATTGTAATAACAAAATATATTGTTGTATTAAAATATGATAGAATATTAATACAATATAATTACTGTTAATATATTTGATTATATAGTATTATAAAATAAAATAGTATTAATTAATTAAATTGTATTAAAGATATTATACTACATATGACATGATAATATAGTCTATTATTATTAACATGCACTCGTGTGTGTTGAGTGCTAATATGTGCCTACAGATTTATCAAATTCTTAAACCCAAAGACTTCTAAGGATGCAACCAAATCTCCATATTATTTAATATTTTTATTTTGTAGAGTTAAAAAGTGTTTTCACCCATTTTGAAGCAAAAGAAACATAATAAAAGAGTTCTATTTTGAAGCAAAAGGAACATAATACAGGTAGGACACATATCTCGTACCAAGTCCAACTGTTGTGTGCCCGACATGGGTACTTCACGCATTCTTGAAGAACCCATGTAACGTAGATTATATAATATTATCATGTAAGAAGCTTTATGTTTATGCATCAATCTCTTAAGTTGATTTTGTTTGGCTCTCTCATGGAACTGAATGCTCATTTCTGGACTGACGAAGACAAATGAACATCCAACATTTGTGAGAATTGCATGCCAAGGAAATAGGCATTCCAGCGTTGTTTTGGTTTACTAAACAAGAGAAAGGAAATGAAGAGCTAGAATGGGAATTCCATCCTACTCTATTGTACTGTATCAAACATAACATAATACCTACAACCAATAGCTACTAAGATAAGGTAAGGAGAAAATATATGTTTGCATACGTAAAACGGTACAAGTATAATTCAATTTTCATTTTAAAAAAAGGGTTAAATATTAATTAACCTTTAAAATATCCTTCACAAAGAGAAGTTTTGTCGAATTTTTTTAATCAGGCATCTTAGATTAACAAGTCATAAGCCTGATGATTAGTGAACATTATTAAGAGAACTCTATATAATATAAAGTTCCCTTATCTGCACGAGATCTCCAATGATCCATCACCAGCAATCACTCAAATCCATCACGCTGCTATATAAATTATGCTGTTTGATGCTCACAAAAATTATAATTTATATTGCATATATACATGCAATTGGAGAGAGAGAATAACTTCAATCCAACCATAGATGGCAGTTTAGAGACAATCTATTCAAATCATTATGGTTGATTGGATCCCGTTGTAGCCGTTCATAGCTTCACACATTATTAGTTGCCGGCTTGCAGCTTTTGCAATAGGATATCACTCTGACGAGAGAATATTTACAATTGCGGTGAGAGAATAAGGAAATTGAAAGAGGAAGACAATAGCAGTGTTTATTATTTAGGTATCACCCTTTTTTTTTTTTTTTTTTTTTTTAATCAGAATACAATTGGAAGCAATTGAATCAGGAACTGGGGGACAATTTGAACATATTAGACGTTTTTTTTTTGAATGACAGCCAAATAGAAGAGTTTTATATGATTGCAAACAATAAGACACAAATTTTACTGTATCGTTTTGTGTTGAACGGAATAAGGATGAAATTTTAACAATTTGTACATACTCATATTAATGTGTGAAGCTATGAACGGCTACAATTTATATGCATACCATATGCGAATTTACTATGTTACAAGTTACTATCACGTTCACGTGTTTTTTGTTCTCTCCTACTAGCTGCACCATTAGCATGAACTAAAAAAATCAATGATGCACATGAGGTGCATGATGGAGTCTCAAGTCTCTAAGCCTCAATCCTGTGCTCCACTCTCTCATCCAGTCCCCAAAAAGTCCTAACATCTCGCATATGCATTCAATTTCAATTTACTGCTTTTTTTCAGGTCAAGCCACTCATATATTTCAATAACCTTTTTCTAGCTCCTTTCACTTAAATGACCATGCTGCTTCTTCATGACCCAACGTTCTGTACTATCAATGTGGATGGCTCTATGCTATCTTATGTTTATTCTTCTTTCAGTTTTAAAGTAAACATCAATGACCCGATATTCCAAATATCTACAGAACTTCATGGATCACTTCAACTCTGAGCACGACAGTCACTTCGATCTTTAACTCCTAGCTTATAGATAATTAAACCAAGAATAAAATCTAGAAATACAATCAGCAATAGGAACAACTTGTATGCAATATATTGTCATACATTGCTTAAACCAAAATCTCTATCTCAAAGACCTTAATATAACAGTTTTACAGAACTAATATCAGTTAAACATATGCTGAAAGCATATAGCATGTCGCATGAGACCTTTGACAATTCATACATAAGCATAAAAATGGGTTGATGCTGAAACCAAGGAAACCAAATCATACGCTTTTTTTCAGCTTACTTCAAATCTAAAAGAACATATGCGGTCATCATTTTTTCTTTTCTTTTCTTTTGTTCTTTTTTTTCTAAACCTTTTAATTGATTGCCTATGTAAGAAATAAAAAATAAAAATCTCACAACCCAATGTCAGAACACTTCTGTAACTGAAATCAAAACAACTCAGATAATCTTGTTTTTATTGATTCTATTGCTAGGCAAGGGAATGCACCGATCTATAATTCTACTCAACCTCACAAATGATAAACAAACACACAAACATGTGTGTGTGTAGAGGAGGGAACTGGGATCCAACGATTTCTCTCTCTCTCTCTCTCTCTCTCCATATATATATATATATATATATATATAGTTATATATTCAATATTAAGTAACCTCAGATGTGATAAACATTTAAAGACAATGATATGCAAAAGAAAGAAGACAAATTAACAATAGCCAGACAGTAAACAAATGAGATTAACTGTAGACAGAAGGGATTGGAATCTAAAGGCATCACCTACCGCTTTCTCTATAGTTGAAAAATTCTGAATTCTGTTTGATAGGATTTTCTGCATATGTATCAAAGAAGCCATGGCAGTTCCCTGAAATTCAGTGAGCTGTCAAGTGTCAATAAAGCTTTATTTAACCATTGATAAGCAATGTTGACATGTTTTTTGTCTGAAATTCCCACCTCAACGACATCTACAACAACAAGCCCAGCCAAAGTAGGTAATGCCTTTTTTGCAGCAACATGTATTGCAACTGAGCCACCCATGCTGTATGACAATTTCAGCAATGAAATTATGCACAATGGTAGTTAAGATAGCAACAGTTGAGAATCCTGATAAAATAGAATCCCTACTAAATTACACAATCATTTAGTCCATTAGAGATAAAAGCAGGAAAATGGGAAAATGGCAAGCCACAGCTGCATTAGCAGTCTCCTCACTGAAAATATAATTGCGTATAAATACTAAGAACGAATGATTTAGTGACATACCAAAGCCTAAAATTTTGTGCAATTATTGTACAAATTATTGGGCAGCATCTATTTTTATCTCTTGTAAGAACTTAACGAATGTGTGGGCATTGAGATAAGAAAATACTCTGAAGCAGACCCAAGAATTTTCATTTGGGGAACCAAACAAGTAGTACAAAAATAAAATTTGAAAATATTATACGTCTAAAGAGTGTACTTTTATACTGCAAAAACATGAAGCATTGGCTACATCCATTCTGAATTTTCCACGTGAAAAGCTATGTGATAAAAGAGTAAAATCTGATACTGCATCCCAACTCCTACCTCAAAAACTTAATTGTTGATTACCTTTTTCTTGAATGCTTGGAACTCTTACACTTTAGGGTACTGAATACTGCCATGAACCTAACTTCACAAGTATATGCATTAATCCATAGACGGCCAACACTCAGCACTATCCCAAAAACTGTGGCCAACGAAACCAAAAGGCAATATTTCAACCACCTTTCTAACTACCTTACCCAGATTACTACCGTTACCTCTTAACTAAAAGTTCTACAAGAACCAAAAGTGCTTTGACCTCATATTAAATGACCAACTCTTTTTTTTTAATGTTATCTCTGCCCCAATTCTCTCTTTGCCTTCAAAAATTTCCCTAAGGTCATCTGGATCAAACTGATTTCCTAAGTCAACAAAATCTCCATGATTATCATCACCGGTCACCCTCAAGTGAACCTCTATCCTTCTCTCATTTTCTATTTTTCTCACCTCCTCCCTTTATTTTCCTTAACAAGTTTCATCATTTATATCACAACTTCTGTAAGAACACGTCCAAACAGTGATACACTGCTGCCTTGCCTTTGCGTCAAGTGTTTCTTCAAGTTCAATTTTGTGATCCAACCTTTACCGCCAACAAAATATGCAGACTTAAATTGGTATTCTCTTTCCTGTCGTGATGATGCGAAATAATCAATTCTGCAAGAAAATTACATTTTAAATAATTTTTATAAATTAAATTATAAACAGAATTTGAAAGATGGAAAAACTAAATAATATGTAATTACATATTAACTATTAAGTAAATTTTTTTTTTAATAAGTAACTATTAAGTAATTAGATCCAGTATATCCTATATTTATTTATTTACTGAATTATTAACATTGTTTACAAATTTGTAACATATATCTAATAACCTAGTTGTCAAGTCATTTATAATTAGCACTTATAATTTAGCCAGTAATTTGGTATTAAATATTATTTAACCCGAAAAAAAACTCTTCATTTAATATTTATAATATAATATGTAGACATTAAAACTATATTTGTGTCTTAGTTAAAAATCTTAAGAATAAATTAGCAACATATTAAAAAAGTATACAATAATTTATAAAATATTCAAAATTCCAACTTTCTAAGGTTAACAACGAATTGATAATTGAATTACTGAACTTATATGACTTTATGGACAGCAAATAATTAATTCTATATGCCATAAAAATAAATTAACAGGAAAACAACATTCAAAATTCAAACATCATAAATAATATTAAAATGTGACCAGTGGCCTAGTGGTATCAGCCTCTTACTTCCCAAAGGAAGGTCAGGGGTTCAAGTCTCAGTAGAGACGTGTATGTGAGTACCAAGTACCAACTATGAAAAAAAATAGATATTAAAATGTGACCAAATAAAATAAAATAAAATAAAAGATGCTTGACATAACATCACTAATAAAAATAATAGCATTAAACTTACAAAATTTCAACTTATAGATCAGTAAGACACACACACACAAATTATAATAATAATAATAATACTAATAATAATAATAATATAAACAATTCATCTTTTAATTTAAAAATTGAGAATAATTCCTTATAAATGTCAAATAGAAACAAGATCAATCAAACAATCTCTCAGGATCCAAGATCAAGCAAACTCCTTACCTAAATAATACGAAAAGTAAATAAACAATAGTTCAAAACTAATCAACTGAAAAGATGTCTTAAACATTTGATTCAAGCTCTAAGCTTAACTCTTTTTTACTTCAAAGTTTGAAAAGTAAATTTTGAACTAAAATATGTTTACAAAGGGTTTGGAACCTGAAACTGTAAAAAAGAAAACGAAAATGTAAATGGGTAGAAAAAAGCTTATGGGAGCTACATAGTGGAATTGCCGTTATAAACCACTATGGCTCTGGAACGGCCATTATGATTTATAGCCCCGATATTTAGAAGGAGCAATAAATAGGTATGTAACTACATCTTTCCCAGGCAATATCATTAAATTACTTCTGCCATTTTACTTTAACCAGGCTCAGAGAACTTCTCTTCGTAATTGTTATTGATGCAAGCAAATAAGTATTAAGATTTTTTTTTGATAAGTCATAGGAATAAGAAATTATTTCTTTAAAAGAAGAACATAAACCCCACATAGTTGTGGCATTGACTATTTTGGTGCATCATAGATGTGCCTCAGAAACTGTGTAGCACAATGTTCTTTTTCCATAAAAGAATTACTTAATATGATTATTGCACAATATAGAAACTCGGAGGGATACTAACACATCAAAAGGGGCACAACCTGTGGCCAACAAGCACAATTGCAGGAGGAGAATCTCCATACATTGTCTTCAAAACAGCCAGCACATCACCACACAGAGTCTGCAATCAATAAGTTTCCGCTTCAATTCAAGCACAGGGATGGCATATCTTGGATAAAACATTTAAAAAATCACAACTGCAAGAGTAGTGAACCACACACTCTTATTAATAAGATCTATAGCAGTTTTGAAAAAGCATACCTCAATAGACAGGTCTAGATCATTTTCTGCGGTTGACTTTCCATGTCCTCTCAGGTCCATGGCTACTACCCGCATTTTTTCCTTAATTTTGCTTGCTGACAATGCAAATGAAAGGCTGCCCAAATAATCATTTTATATTAATCTGTAATAATTTCATAGAGAGTTTGGAATAACAACATAAACAAAATAAGCAATGATTTTTTGTCTTTTATAATCTCAAATTTGCAAGCAATTATATAAAAGGAAAAATACCCAACAGGCTAGTAATACTAAATTCCCGGCTGTATTACTTTCAATGATTATCAGTAATAAACTGAAATAGGAATGAATAAAGAACAAGATCTTTGAACGGCAGTCTAGCTCCACATTTGAAAGACATTGTATATAACACATAAATCATTTCTTGACAAAAATGAACTAACAAACCAGAAAGTTGAATTAAAGAATTCATATAACAGCATTAACTGTAAAGGTTTTTATGACAATGCTGACAAACATGCTGATATTTGCTACCACTTCTTGAATACATCAAGATTCGAATAAAGAAACTATCACACACACAAAATTGATGATATCAGAAGAACAAGAACACAACCTTAGACAACATATTGTCGTGCCATACAGGAAAAGTCTAGTGAGCCATTAAACATATACCCACAATTAAAAAGCATTATTACTTGGGTTCTAAGGTTGATATCTCTTATAATAATAAAAACAAAAAAAGCTCCGAGATCCAGAATTGACAAGGAATAAGATTCACCAAAAAGGTTTTAAAGTGTTGTTACCATGTACAAGCATATGTGAAGAAAGCTATAACTCTATGAGAAAACAAAAGAATCCAGACTCCTTAGGGGCGAAAAAATCCCGACTCCACAAAATCCTAAAACTGCTCTAAATTCGGACTCACCGTCCCTGTAGTCCAACGATGCAACAAAAACAAAATCATACTCTTCAGTTTGCGAATAGTTTCCTCTAACCCCTCAAAATGCCTCAGATTCCTTTCCTCCAAATTGACTACATCATACAATGAGGTACCACCACCTCCCAATTCTTCCTCTCCCTCTTGGGAATTCTTCCCCATTTACGTGTTTGAAAAGAGCACATACTGAAGTAGGAGACACCCAAAAGATCCCAAACATCAAAAGAACACAACGCCACATCTACCTCCCTACTCTACAATGAATATGAATGCAGTCACTGATTCCCCATCTTCTTTACAAATGCAATACCAGTTTGGCATAGATTGGTCCCTCAAAATCAAGTTATGACATTTAAGATCTTGCTTTGAGCCGTTGATTATCCAAATCATGCCACTTTAATAGGAGCTGTATTCTCCCAAACTCCTTTCCAAATAAAAGAATCCTCCAACCTTCCACAAGAGCAAGAAACTGTTTATAGTACGCTTTCACCTTAAATGAGCGGTGATGATCTTACAGAATGATTTTGTTTTTGCATATGCAATACTGCAGGGGAAATTGTTAGTCATCTCCTGCTTTTTTGGTGATACTGCATAGCAGTTAAAAGGAGCCTCTCTTTTTAACTGTCGCTCTATTCGAAGTGATATGGGCCATAGCAGGTTTGTGTAAGACTAGTTGGGGAGTTGGTTTGGGGGTTGCACCCTGAAGAGTGTTCAGATGATCTGGGAAGTGGCCACATTATCCGTGATGTGGCATATATGGATGGAGAAGAGTAGAAGATCTTACAAACAGGTGGAACTTTGGTATCAGAAAATGAAGTTTATGATTGATTAACCGCTTTCTATGGCTTAATGAAGCTGTGATTGTGTCCATTGATTCTTTCACAAGTCCATGGTGATACGCCCTTTTCTATTTGAGTTGGCTTTCCCTCTTGTATACTTGCCATGCACTTGACAGCACCATTTTCTATAAGAGATTTAACTTATGGAAGAAAATTCTTCACTTAAAAGAATGTCAGATTCATATGTACAACCAAATAAGTAGATTTGGTTATGAGATAACGTCACTGATGAAACTGAAAGACAAAAATTACGAATGGCACCCATTGCCATTAGTGAGAAAATAAGAGAGAGTAGACTTGGATGGTTTAGACACATATAACGGAAACCTGTGGATGCACCAATAAGATGAGAAAGATTAATTCTCGTAGATGGTAAGAGACGGAGAGGGAGACCAAAAATAACATGGGATGTGGTTAGTAGAAACGACTTTAAAAGGTTAAGCACATTAGGTGAAATAGAGTGTAACAAAATAGAATGGAGACACAGAATTCATGTGGCTGACCCCATTCATATGAGAATAAGGCAAGGATGATGGTGGTGGTGGTGGTTACGAGGAACCAAAATGACCATCAAAGGTAGAAAGGAAACAAGGTCCAGGTTTGGGTTTCTGCTGTCTATCAAATTAATAAAAGAAAATGATAAAGAAAAAAATCAGTTCAAGTTAAAAGTTATGAACATGAATAATTCAAAGTTACTTCTCCTTGCTAATTCTTGCTCTGGTCTCTAATGCCATTCATTTGTTGGATAAGATTGAGAAAATAATGCATACCCCCCACCCCCCAACCAAAATACACACACAAAAGTAACATTTAATTCTCCTTATGTATTTGTTTGTTGATATGCATCACTAAATTTTACGATGTATTACATCAATTTGGATTTCAGGTTTCACATCATTCAAGCATAAAACTGAACACGGTACAAATGTACAATGTTGAATAGAAAATATTTCAGCAAAATGAAAATCAAACATACCCAGAATAACCACCTCCATGCAGACAAAAAATAACTGGCCCCTGTGTTCCTGCCATATATACGTGAAAGACCTAAAATAGAAAGGCACATTAAACAAAAATAATTTTACCCAAAAAAAAAAACACAAGAACAAGACAAAAATAAGAAAAACTTTCACATGTAATGGAAGTGTCAAAGACAGATATCACTAACATCATTTGAATCTGGGATGCAAACATCATCCTCTTTATCAAAATACCCTGACCAATCTAAAGGTGAGCACTTTTGTGAAGAAGTCCTACAAGAACAAGTGTTAAAATAAAATAATAAATAATAAAATAATAAAAAATAAAAAATAAAAATAAAAAGAAGAAGAAGAAGAAGAAGATATTCATCAAAAGAATAAAAATAAAAAGGAAATAACAATATATAAAATTAGTATCCTGGCCAATCCCAAATAAACTGTCAATGCCAAAGTTGTTAAGCAATGTAATCACCATAAAAACAGGTTGAAGTAATGTGTAAGTTTTATGATCTCATGATTACCAGGTTTGAGTTCTCAACAAAACTATAATTTCAAAAGGTAGCCACACAAATTTCGCATTATCAGCATACTTGCGAGAGTCAAACAGGACAACAACACAAAATTGACATAGATAGTATGCTTAGGTATGAATATTTTTACAAGTGATGACTAAAAGTTAAATGTATCAGCAAAAGTGAGAGCCAGACATGACAACAACACAAAATTTACACAAAAAGTATGATTAGGTACAATATATGAACAAGTGATGACTAAAAGTTGCGTGTTGCTAACATATGGTGTGCAAACCCCCCATATATTCTCAACAATTTCTGCCCTCCCAAGCGACCTAGGATCCCATTAACAGGTGTCCACCACGCACCATACGTTTCCTCGAGTGTGCAGCTCAAGACATTGGTCCATCTGCACGGCTAAAGTCCGCACTTCCAGGCGGGTACTTATAGATGGTACCAGAGCCAATGTGATGCAAGTCATTAAAGTTAATTTAGTCAGTATTGAGGCAGTCAATGGCCGCCTTGGAAAGTGCCTTGAAGAAAAGTCAAAGAGTCCTCCTTGTTTTACTAAGCTTTGGAATTACTAAGTATGCTTAGGAAAGTGGTAGCATAATTGTAGATTGTAACCATAAGAGCTTTAAGTGATGCATATAATATTGGGAAGTGCCTTGTTACTAAATATAGAGTCAAAGTGCGAACACTAAAGAGTGTCATTATATTGTGTGAAATCTAAGAAGTCCGTTTAAGGATCAGAGGTCATTAGTGATTGCATTATAGAACGAAAAGTACCCTTACTTTGTTGTAACATGTTTTCTCCAATATAATTTACAGTAATCAGTCTACAATTGTTCCTCAGTCTTTTCCTTGATTTCCTTTAGGATATAAGCTGCAATGATTACTAGAGTAATGCCCGCCTTAATTACTGCTATAAGTGGACCATTTCCTTTCTCTATTTGCATCAATCAAGCCCTGCGTTATATTGTGTCCTGTATATTTTAAGAATCAGAGATTTCAATAATTTCTGCTGGACATAGGCAAAGGTAGTGGATCATGGTCTCCTATTCTGGGTTAAGTTATTAGTTTGTTGTACGTGCTGTCCATTAGGTCTGGAATATCCTTACCGGTCAAAGTGTCAAGAGTTTCATCTCTAAAGTATCAAACCTCAAAAAGGCAAGAGATGTCCAACCTATAAGATTGTGTGATTTGTGGTATATTTCATATAATTATGTGATGGTATTCCATGCCATGGAGTACATAAATATCTATGTAATCTATTCAGCATAATCGAGTTTTTAAAGCATTGAAGATTGTGTAATGTGCATTATAGCCAAGCTAAATTAGGTAAAATTCCTATATTTTAACCTGGAGGAAAGAGAATATTCCTAGATGTTTCTTCTTCTTTTCTTTAGTTCTCTATATTTTCCTTTTTAACTAAACCAGCCCTTAGCAAATAATTTTCAACTTAGAAGTCCTCCTTCAATAAACTCAATCCTTCCCTACATAAACAATTTAATCCTATCAACCTAAAACTAATATTGTCACGACCCGTTCAACCCATGTAGATATTGTTCACTTTGCACACTCTCCTTTCGGTGCTCAAGATTTTGTTCAAAACGCGTCTACACAATTAAGGGGTGTCCACACATATAAGTGACAAACCTCTTCCCCCAAGCGATGTGGGACGTCACAATCACCCCCTCTGGGATCCAGTGTCCTCATTGGCCTGACCCGCATGGGCTTGTGCATGCTCCCCCATTTCTAGCTAAAGATTGGCTCTGATACTATCTGTCACGACCCACCCAACTCATGTAGACATTGTTCGCTTTGCACACTCTCCTCTTGGTGTTCATGGTTTTGTTCAAAAAGTGTCTACACAGGTAAGGGGTGTCTATACTCTATAGTGTCATGAAACCTCTCCCCCGTGGGACGTCACAAATATAGTAGAAAAAAGATTACTTGGAGTTCTAGCTGTTTCATCACCTAAACTCTATCCTATCTCCCTCTGATTAAGCCAATCCATTCCCTCTTCCATTTGACCTTAACTTTAACATTTTTGGTTTGTCAAATTTGTTGCATGTTCATGTTCCTGTTCAATTAAAAATATATACATTTATATGAATATATGAATATGAGTTACCATGACAGCCAAATGAAATAATTTTGAATAATATTGATCTCCTTTACTAAAGAAAAAGAAAACCCAGTTCAAACTATTAATTAATCAAGGAAAATGAAAACCCAAGTTCACGATCATGAATTGGAACATAATATATAAATTTTTTTAAAAATAAATAAGAAAAAGACTAGTGAAGCGCTAGAATCAGTATATACCCATTTGATATGAGCGTGTAAAACTTGGGAAATTTCAGAATTCAGATATCAAAATATAGATATTTTTACTTGCTCTGAACAAACAGAAAAGGACATCATTGAGCGGAACAGAGAGAGAACTCACTTATTAGTTGGAGGACGAGCGGGAATGGAAGAAAATGCAGAGACGTCCTTCTTTGTTTGTTGTTGATTTTCTTCTGAGCTTTCTTCGGGAAGAGAGGAGAGGTTTGAAGGATCCATTTGATCGATTCTCAGTAGGAATTTTCAGAACCCGAATGACGATCTCGCTCTATGTTTTTCACACAACAGTGACTTTTGATCTTTGGATTGGTGAAAAGTCATTTTTGTCAGAAAAAAGCAGTGTAAAACATTTTGCAAGCAATTTTCTTTTAATTCAACGCCTAGGGTCTGTTTGTTTATATTGAAATTAAAGGTGGTTCCATTTGTGAAAGAAAGAAGGAAAGAAAAATAATTTTTTTGGATTTATTTTGTTAGTATAAAAAAAATTAAGAAATTTATTTGAAAAATACAATTTTATGATTTGTACAACAGAAAAGTTACAATAAAAATTATGGTTTATCCTAAGTGTACTTAATTTTATTAAATAGGACAAATAGGTCTAAATATTAAATATATACTTTTTGGACTTTTTAAAAATAAAAGTACTATAAGAATTTAAATTTAAAATTTTTTAGGACATCTAAAAAGAGATTTAGAATATTATGCTATACTTGTAAAAATTTTGGAATAAAAACAGTTTATTTTAAAGACTAAAAGGGGATATAATTGTAATTCTATATAACTTTTTCAAGAAAACAAATTAAATAAATAAATGTAAAATAAAATTATTGAAAATTATAAGTGGTTATGAAAAGTTATTTTTTTGATACAAAAATCCTTTAAATTAGGGGTGTAACTTGAGTTTGGCAACCCGAACCTAACCCGAGCCCATTCCAATTTTTTGTAGGTTTGGACAATTATTTTTACAATCAAGGTTAGGCCTGGGTTAAAAAATCCCAACTTCAATTTAATTAGGATTGGGCTTGGATTGAGGTATTAGCAATCCGAATTCTAATATTATTTTTTATATATATTTTTAATTTTAAATACATTATATATAATATTTAAACCATGATTACATTTTTTCTTTTTCAACTTAGTAGACAACTAATTGTATGTAAAAGTATGATTATATTATTGTAAATTAACATGTAGTAGAATTAATTTTTTAAAAATATGTTTGTAATTTATTAAAATTAAAAAAAAAATCTTTATATTATTTTTTATTAAGAATAATTTAATATAAAACTAATTGAAGATTATATTAAATTTTCAGTGTGAAGATTATATTAAATTTTCAGTGTGCCAACCATATGAGTAACCCGAATTTTTAATCACTAATTTTAACCCGAGTTGCAAGTCAAAATTTAAAAGTAAAAAGATGAATTCGGCTCGGGTTGAATAGTTAGAGTTGAATATAAGATTAGAATTGGATTTGAGTTTAACATTTCATATGAAAAGTTTGACTCGAGTTATACCTCAAACCCGTTTAACACGTCCGAGTTGCAACCCTAATTTAAACTCAAGATGTTCTAAACTTTTCTTTTCATTTCTTACCATTTTTATCTAATAAAATGGTGTCTTATACAACAAAACACTTAAAAATAAAATAAAATAAAATTTGAAAAGCTTTAGAATTTAAATTCGCGAGACGAAAACACTGGTTAAAATAAATAAATCTTGTGACATTGATGGAAAATAGTTATTTTTTCTCCACGATTGCTAAAGGGTAACAAAAGCATTTTCTTTCACAAACCTATTGAAGTCATCACGCAATTGCAAGCCAAACAGCTACTAAGAGAGGTCCTAACCCATTGTGGTTTGTGGGTTCGTGGGGGTTTTGGGTCTTTTACGCGGGTTCGATGAGTTTTGGGTTCTCTTGAAACTAGGGTTGATTAATCTTCTCAGTTCTCTCATAGTGCTTTCAGGTGCAGCGTTTGGCCTTCCACAGCTAGAGTTTCACCTGATTCTGTTCCATGGCGTTTCTTTTTCAAAAATTTCAAGAGGTCTACATCTATTTTCAACTCCTATCATCTTCAAGCTTTACTGATTATTTGTTGGTTTTATCTGAACATGATTGTCTTAACTCTTTCTGTTTACAATGCTTATTGTTGATCCATTTCTTTTTAATTTAGGTTTCAGATGCTGTTCAAATAACACATTTGTTACCCACTGTAGGTTTATAAGTTTTTGAAGCTTCTATGTGATGTAGAGTAGTAAAATTTTATTGGGTGACAGTTAAAAAGCGTCATCAATTGTAAACCAATCAGCTATGAGAATTTTCAGTAATTTTTCCAGGACTTAAAAAGCTACTGGGGATCTTGGGCACAAGGATCTTTGGTTTGGATTTTTTTTTTTTTTTTTGTGATAAGTTGGCTCACTACTCACTAGGTATGAAGGGTAATGATCTCCATTGATATTCAAATGAAGCAATAGCTGTCTTAGGAGTGTATTAGGTTGGATGATACAAGTGTTTACAATTGTGCAATAACACATACAACCTCATTTTTCATCATATAAAAGCTCCATCTTGCCCATAATGTATTTTGAAAAACACAGGACGGCACTCAACACTCAATGCAACAAGCCTTACAAAATTTGACATTGAAAAGTTGGGTGTCACGTTTCTTTTCCAAGATATGCTTGGCTAATCTAACTAGTTTTGTGATTTAAAATCATTTGATGATGTAGTCTTTTGATCGACACAAGACCTCTTGGCTGTCTAGCTTCTTGGCAGTACTATTTTCAGCATAGTAGACATCCAACCAGAGTACCTCTTGAAGGTACACCCTTTTGAGTCAAAATTGTAAAATATATGGGAGCCAAGTTAGGCAACTATTGTTATGAGGCATTGGAGTCCTCGGTTGCTATCTTTTATTAATTTGATTAGCACTGCAACCCCGATACTATGGCAAACAGAGAGTTTTGCTGAAACTAGGCACTATTTAGACAAATGCCTTCTTGATGCTTGCATAGTAGGTGACATTCTTCAAATTGGAGATCTTGATATTCATTTAAATGTTTTCATATCAAATGCATTTATGAACTTACCAACCAAAAAGAAAGAAAAAGCATTTATGAACATGTTGGGAGTTGATTCTAACAAGTAAAGTATTCCATCTAAAAGATTCACGTCTTGTGTTTTGACTGTAGACATGAACACTGGGTTTTTAACATTCTCGTAATGAGGCGGAGACATATTTTATTAGAGGCAATTTATTTTATTGCAGTTCTTCTTAGTTATATCTGTCAATCAATGAGTTCTCCAATCTGTTGCATGTGGCCATATTGGTTTAATATTGAATAATTCTGTTCTATCATTTCTTGTTAATAAAATTTTGCCTTTTTGTGCATTCTTCTTTTAGTTTGTGAGAACTCTTGCAAAAAGTCCAACATTTGCTAAAAATCCAAGGCAGCTTCAATTTGAAGCAGACATTAATCGCCTTTTCCTTTACACCAGGTCAGTTCATTTTCTTATCCGAGTTGAACTTGTTCTGTAAGATGTCATTTTGGACATGAATCATGTTTCAATCAAGAACTTTGCTGGTGTTGGTCGTGTTTGGCCCGCCAATATGTCTGGGTGGCCACTACTAGTTTCATAGTTGATCACCTGTTTAATGTTGTTTTTATCTGCTTCAAATTATGTTGTGATCCTGATGGAGTGTCATCACGTGATTGGTATGTGTGAATAAACCTTGGTCATATGGATTGATTGTGACTTTGACAAGCTCCCAATCAGGAATCCCAACTTTCAACCCTGCAGTTCTTACCTAGATGTTTGTAAGTTAACTGGTTTTATTTGTTACAGGACGATTATCAAGTATCTTAAATAAAATGGATTAATAGTTGCTTGTTTTTAGATCTAAAACAGGGAGTTGATATCTAATTATTCTATGGAGAATTGACTTTTCGTCTACTAATAATAAATATCCTACTTATATTCTTATATAATAATAAATAATTTTCCAACAGGCAATTAAATTTATAAAATCAAAGTCATGACTGGATTGCAGCACAAACAGCAAAGTAGTCCCCTTCGAGTCCAACATATGACTGCCTCCTGCCATTTCAACCACTTTAGCTGCGGAAAATGCAGCTGCTTTAGTGTCTGCCACATATGAATCCAGAGATTCATCCGCTACTTCTTTAATATTTTAATTGTTAGTAATTTTAAGTACTGCTCTAATGGTAATTTAGATCGAATTAACTTTTCATATGTAAAGCTTTGAACCACCTAAAGGCAAGTGTTCCGATACTGCTGCAGTTGAGCCCACCTCTGCCTCTTGCACCCACTCTCCCTTTGTGCCTTTTAAGTTACGAATGTATTATATCCATTCAAGTTCGTTTTCTAATCTTGAAAAAGAATAAAGTCCGAAACTCCTTCAAATTTTCTTTAAAATAATATTACACTTTTTGAAAGTCATTGCATTAAGCTTCTTGTTTGTTCTGTTGAATTGAATACATAATATAAATGATCAGTATATGTTGTTTGACAAATTCATAATTTTGTGCTACTTATTAAATGAGTGGCAAGGCTTTAGATCATATTCGGTTATATGGACTCCTTTTTGTGAGTCCTACTACTGATGTCTTTTAAGATAAACGTCAACCCAAAGAACAATATCAAACATTTTTTGTATTGGATTTACTATTTGTACATCTTGTGTCCTACATCATGTTCATAAGCCCTACATCTTGTACTTCATTATGCCGGGACTCCGCCAGACTAGACTTAGTATTACTATATGACTTTTAGACTTTGAATCTGCCATGTGGCTTCATTTTAAATTGACAAGTCTTTTCTGCATGGTAATCTTGATTACTCACGAAAAACTTGATTTTTCAGCTACAATCGTTTAGGAAGGGATGCTGCTGAAGCAGATGCTGAGGAGATAATTGACATGGCTGGTAAGGCCTCCCTTGCTGATCAACAGAAGCAGGTCCAAGAAAATATTCATTTTCAAATTAAAACCTTCTGCACGTCTATGAATGACATCCTCCTTCCTGATATGAAGAGCATAAAAGAGCCACTTAACTCAACTCAACAACCGCATATTGCTCCTCGCCGCAGTGGCCTTAGTCTTGCTGTTGGTGGGAATAGTCCACCAAGTGACCATTCTGGTGAGTGTACATGTTTATATGTATATATATTTATCTGTAGATGCAATATTGATTTTGAATTGCCAGAACATTTCACGTGATGTATTGTTTGCTAGACATTGTTCCAGTGGCATATTAATGGAAGTTCTATAATTCAATTTTTTCCTACTGAAGCTGACAACGATATAATAAGTCCTTTACCTGATTTTTACATTTACTTACCTTAGCTTCTTTGTTGTCGTCCTAAAGAGAAAGGTATACAATTTTACTGGAATTGGATCCTAGTTTAAAGTAGTTCAATCTATATGCCATGATGAGCTAAAAAACAGATAGAACACTCTTTCCTTTTTTCTTTTTCGTTTTTTTTTTGTGTGCACGCGCATGTGTGTTTTGGGGGGATCAATTTCCTTGCCAACTATCAACCCCGATCTCTTTTCATTTGTTTTCGGTATTACCAAAAAGAGTGATTGACTGACTAAATCATCCGAGTCTCCTTTCAAAATCTCTAGCATCTAGGGGCTGGTTTTTGGAAATTTTATATTTTGAACAATTGATATGGTGTCAATTTTTTTTTTTTTTTTTTACTATTCAGGGTTTCCATTTCTATGTGAATTAAGATATTGCAGTTTTCAGTTTTGTAGTCTGAACATGGAGAGTTCTGTACACTGGTGTCCAATTCCCTGGTTTTCTAATTCAATCTTCTGGGTCAAATGAACTGGGAAAATTAAAGATTTTTTAGACTGGGCCATCATTGTTCTCCTTATAACCATACAGCGAATTGGTTCAGTGGACAATTTGTTGAACCTGTTCCAGTTTTGTTTTTGGTATTCATTGCTTCCATGAGAAATCACCTCTGCTATTACCTGAATGCCTCCAGCGTCCCTAAGAACCAACAAAAACACTACCATTCCAACCCACCACATCCACATCATCAACCCTATTACCATTGCCTTACTGCTTGCTATTACCATCTTCTCCAACAACCATCTCCAGCTACTGGAGCACCATCACCTCCATGTCCACTTCTGACATGCCAATGCCAGTGCAATTATGTATTGAAGGCTTGCAGAAGTACCGATGCAGCCAATGCTGCTATAACCTCCATTCTCTGCATTCATTGCAAATTCCCATTAGTTTATGGTTGTGACTTGTGAAATAAACTTTCAACATGGCCCACAGGGGTACAATAATGTTATTGCTTCTCAGTCACCAAAAAAAGGGCAGTCTGCTTATAAAAAGATTTAAAAAGGTTATTACCCGGTGGCCCCCTCCGCTAGAGGGGAAGGCTGGTTATGTTATGCATAACGCTACGCGAGAGATTACAATAAAATCTAGGTAGGAATTGGGAAATAAGAATAAGCAATACGGACACTGTGGTTATGTGCAGGACTGCAGGGGCTCCTTTGCGATTCATGATTTTTAACTGTGTTTGTGGGAGTGCTCCTGTTATGATTCATGATTTCTAAAAGAAATATATAGTTGGAAAACATGGAATGTGGTTTACTTTCCATGAACAATAGACGATTATTTATTTATTTATTGAGAAGACAATGGATGATTCTTTGTGCATGTCTTTGCATGTCTGCCCATATGCTAACTTCTATTGTTTATTGTAGTTTGATGCTTTGAATAGACAGAATGTCATTTTAAGGATACTAGTTTTTTTTTACACCCTTTATGTGATAGTGATACATTAATAATTTGAGGCTAAGGTGATAATTGATTTTCTGTCCAGAATTTTGATCCAAAAACTACTTTTTTTCTTCTTCTTCTTCGTTTTTTTTTTTTTTTAAATAAAAGAAAATTGTTTTAAAAGGTGAGAGCACACACACCCACTATTGCCCCCAAGTGGGAAGTCCGGAGACTTCAACCCTTAAGTTCCCATTTGGAAGGAGGAAGAAATTCCACTAGGCCAAACCCTTGGTTCCAGAATTAATAAACTTATGACTGAATCATATTTTTGTCATAAGATTAGCTGAGCAAAAATTGTTCACTGTTATATTCAGTGTGAGAATGTAGTATGAATCCTGAGAGAATCACCGTGCAAATAATGTAAAAAATTAGGTCTATAATCTACCCCTCCCATCACCCTCAATTAACGAGGCATCCGGGACGTCGTTGTAACTTGATTGCATGCATATTTGAAAGTTAAAATAAATAAAAAATAAAATAGAAGTATTAATTTTATTTCTTCACAAAATTTGGTCATTTGAAGTTTTTGTCCTTAATTTCTCATATGGATGGAGCACCCAATTATTATAAAGCAATTTTTGCTTCTCAATCTGATTATTAATGGATTTTCAGCACAGCTATACCTGAGACAAAACCATTAAAACGTGCTGAGCTGTCTGAGAGGATGAAGGATCTCATGGGCTACACTCTAGAGCTTAAACCATCTCAAATTCCTCACCAGGAAGCTGGACAGGGTTTATTCTTGGATGGTGAAGCTGACGTTGGTGCTGTCATAGCTTTCTACCCTGGTGTTATATATTCTCCTGCTTATTACCGTTATATTCCTGGATACCCCCGAGTTGATGCACACAATCCTTATTTGATCACTAGGTATGATGGAAGTGTGATCAATGCACAGCCTTGGGGTGTTGGTGGTGAAACACGTGAAGTATGGGATTGGTCAAGTGTTCCTGAATCCAAGCCTGACGTGCAAGTTGCTGAGAAAGGTTCAGACAAAATTTGGAAGCTACTCAGTAAACCTTTGGAAGGCCCGCGATTAGGACGTACTGGTGACATTTTGGAGCGGAGAAACCCACTAGCTTTTGCTCATTTTGCCAACCATCCACCGAAGGGTATGGTCCCAAATGTCATGGTTTGTCCTTATGATTTTCCACTAACTGAAAAGGACATGAGAACCTATATACCAAATATATTATTCGGAAGTGGAGAAGATGTGAAGATGAAGAGGTTTGGCAGTTTTTGGTTTAAATCTGGAGGGTCCAGCAATGGTGGATCAGATGTTCCTATTCTCAAGACTCTTGTTCTTGTGGCTACTAGGGCACTTCGTGATGAAGAGTTGCTCTTGAACTACAGGTTGAGCAGCACGAAGCAGCGGCCATCATGGTACACTCCAGTAGATGAAGAAGAGGATCGAAGGAGGTGGAGCTGAATCAATACAAGGTTGGAAGTTGAGGAGGTTTTCGGTCATGAAGTCGTCAATCTCGGCCCAGGGGAGGTTATGATTTTGTGGGAGTTCTTTTCACTCTCCCCCCTTTTCCCATTTCCCTTTTCCTTTTCTTTCCATGTCATCTTGTAGCCTATTTGAAAGCTGCAATTTTACCATTTCTGACCAGTTAGTTGTAATTTACATCAACTCAATCCTTATACTAAGGATGACATTTTTGGAGTCTTTTCTTTTTCATTGTTTTGTTATTATTGTGATTATTATTTGTTTTTGGATTGAATGGGGGCTTCAGATTCAGAGTTTGAGCTGGCAGAAAATTATAAACAAACTTGAAAGCATAGTTCTGTTTTTTTTTTTAAAAAAATAAAAATAAAAATAAAAAAGCAGGGCAAAACAGGCCCAAAACAGATACAAAACAAAGCAGAGATAATGAAAGCATAGATCTACACTTGTACTCTTCAAGCAAAGGTAAGTTTAAGTTCTGTTGGGAACACGGAGACGGAAATACTGTCACGCCGTCATGTTTTGAGTGTCACTACAGGTGTCATGTTTTTAAATAATTATTTTATTTTATTTTACACACATGTTTCCACTTAGATTTCAACTTCGAAAGTCTTAGATTTTAATCTCTAATATCCCTTCCCTTTCTTTCGAAAGCAGGGGTCAAGTACTTTTAGGTTGGGTATGTTGGTAATAATGTTTTTTGTTTGAAGTACACATGTCCTGACTTGTACGAGAGAATATCGGGTACCCCAAGGGTACCCCGTCAGCATGTCCACCTGCTACTCCCACTCCAATAAAAACATGACATCTGGCGAACTTTCCACATCAGCGCCATACTCAACAAGCCTTCGTTAGTCGTTAACTTCTCTACTTTCTCTCTCTACTCTTTTTTTCTTTCTCCTCACCGTACTTTCTCTCTCTCTCCTCAGCTGACGAGGCCGCCGTCATAACCAAGCTCGCCAACAGCCTCTCGCCAGCTCTGATTGGACCGGCGCCGACTACTGAAGAGATTTGCACTGGACCGGCGCCGACTACTGAAAGATTGTCCCGGAGCTGCAAATCGAAGAGATTCGCACACTGAGACAGGTCCGGGATCGGACCCGTGAACCCATTTTGCTGTATCCACACCTGAGAAAGCTGGGTCATCGCGGACTACACGTCGATCGTACCCGACAATCCCATCAACTGATTGTTCAGCCAGAGGTTCTGAATCTTCGATGACCCGAAAGACGCTGGCAACGGACCGGTCAGATTGTTGTCAGACAACCGGAGATTCTGCAAATTGGGGAAGTTATTGAAAAATCGTCTATGGCGACAAACTGGGGTTGTCTTTGAGACTCAAGGTCTGCAAATTGGTGAGACCCACAAAGGAAAAAAAAATAAAATAAAAGACAAGACAAAGTGCTCAATGCTCTGTTCACGGGAAAGAAAAAAATGAGAAGTTTAATTCTTTGAATATTCATTCCCAAACACAACCTGTGTAAGATTGCAAGCTCACATTTATCTTGATTCTTTTTTTTTTTCGCAACATTTAAAAACCCGCAACATAGAAAATCATCACTATGCAATTAATCTGGGCAAAAGATGAATTCAGAAATTACAACTTAAATTGAAAGATTTGGAATTGAGGTTGATGCCGGTGACCCGGTTCGAGTTGTTGCAGTCGAGGCCGGACCACTTGCAGTAGTCGGCGCCGGTCCAGTCGGATAGGGCTGGGGAGAGGCTGGTGGCGAGCTTGGTTATAATGGTCGGTTGAGGAGAGAGAGTACAGTGAGGATAAAGAAGAAAAGGGTAGAGAGAGAAACTAGAGAAGTTAACGTCTCCGTTAGTGGCTTGTAGAGTATGAAGCTGATGTGGAAAGTTACCAGGTGTCATGTTTTTATTGGATTGGGATAGCAGGGGGACATGCTGACGGGGTACCCTTGGGTACCCAATATTCTCTCGACTTGTACAACCGGAATAGTTTAGTTGTCAAATGTAAATATATATATACCCAAAGCCCCAATAGAAGAAGAAACCTCATATTTCATTATATTAGTTACATATATTTTTTTTTTAATAAATAAATTATGCTTCATGTATTATATTTATTTTTAAATAAATATACCTGCTCTTATATTGTTGATCAATACAAGTTTCTTTTGTATATTTTTTTCATTGGCAAGTTTCTTTTGTATTAGTTATATGTATTTTTAATGAATTATTTATACTTTATGTATTCTATTAATTACCAAATAAATACAATTACTTTCATATTAGTCAATACATGTTTTTTCATATTAGTTTTTTTATATTTCATTAATATATATATACACACACATATAACTTATATGTGTGTATATATCTATATTAATGAAATATTTGTGCTGTGTGTATTCTATTAATTACCAAATTAGTTATATATATTAATGAATTATTTATGTTTTGTAATTCTATTAATTACCAAATAAATATAACCACTTTCCTACTGGTCAATACAAGTTTCTTATATATATATATATATATATATATTAGTGAATTATTTATGCTTTGTGTATTCTATTGATTACCAAATAAATACATCCGCTTTCCTATTGGTCAATACAAATTTCTTTTATATTAGTTATAAAAAGAAATAAATCGAGGTAAAACACCATCTAACAGTTTATTACATAGATACTTCCAAGACAATAATAATATCATCTAAATTAATCCAAGTTCTCTGAACCAATTAAATAAGGTTCCATAAAAATAACATAATCCTTATTACAATGATCATAATAGGAAAAAGTTAAGCTAAAACAAATCAATGTGCAACGAGCTAATATCCATCGTTGTCATCTGATCCCATCACGTTCCTACTCAACGTGTACCTAAAGTGTTATAATGGGGTGAGCTTACAAGCTCAGTAAGAAATGCTAAATACAATCATTGTTCAGCAAGCTAACCTTACTTTGTATTATCATATATATAAGTAACTCAAATAAGTGCATTAATAAATTTTTTTTTAAAAATACTTTAACTCCAGTTAATTATAAACTCAATAAATAACCATATATATCATTTACTTTTATTTAATCCACATATCTCACTTGAGCCCCAGGCTCCCATCCAACAAAGTGGTGTGAGTCGTATAGTCTCGGACTACCGAAAACACACGTGTGGCTGGTTTGTAGTCTATTCGCCAGATTATCCCGGATCACATCCACACAATAAGGGCACATTAAGCCCATGGCCATAATAAAAAGGGTAATGCATTCCCAAATAGACAAGTCCTTGATCATACCCAAAAAGTCATTATAGGGTACATCCCTGACTACCCCTTCGACTAATCCATTAAATATCAATTATAGTGTAATGTTTATAAATTGTGCATATATTAAAAGAAATTTTTTTTCAGCCGCGGGACCCACTCTTACTTTTAGTCATTACAATGACTAATGAGTCATTGCACAGACCCATTCTGCATTCTCTTTCCTCTCATTACAGAATTTCTCTTTGTCGGCATTCTCTTTTTTCTTTTTTTCTCTCCACATTTTAGGCTTGATCTAGCTTTATCCCTTTGGAATTTGGTAGAACCTTATGAAGCAAAGTTGGAGAGCTCGTCGAGACCGTTGATTTGATAGGAGCCAATCACCATTTGGCCAAGCTTAGGGATTTCGAATATAGGGCTCAAGTTGGGGTTTTTTCTCTCATTTGAGGTAGGGGATTTCTAAGGCATAAATTCTTTGATTTTTGTGAATTACTTCTCAATTCTTGTTGAATAACATGTTTAACTTGTGACAATTTTATGAAATATAAATTTTCAAAGTCGTAAGTGATATGTATGTGTTGGAATTTGTTGATATTATGTGAAGAAGTATGCTTAAGTAATTTATTTCATGTCTTATATGACTAATGTGTCAAGTATTTGTTATTAGAAAGCATGATTTGATTTTTATTAGAATTTATTTATTTATTTTTTGTTAAGCATGCTATGTGATTAAGGTTTAAATATGATACAAGAGAATGTATATTTGACATGGCATCGAAAGACATGATTTTTTCCTCATTTCACGGCATTGTAATATATTGACATTCACGCATGACATTGGGAAAGAAAATGGGAAAGATCTTTTGGAGAGAAAGGAAAAAAAATGATTTTTTTTTGGGAAATGCTTTGATAAATGATTTTATGAAAACCCGGACGCCTAGGAGGCGCCTAGTGGTCCGTGGTGTTACTATGATTTAGAGGGAATTAGAGAGAGACTCTAGTGTGGTTGAGCTACCTAGGCTCAGATGACTCCATGGAGGTATCATGTGGTCGGGGATTGCTAGTCAACCCTTTTTTCGTGATGCCATAGAGGTGTTATGGGTCGGGTTACATTAACAGTTTGGAACGGTGAAATGAAATTGTTTTGAAAATTGGGGAGAGACATTACATGACATTGCATCCTATAACATGACATGTTTTATTTGTGACTTGGATTATTGCTATTGATATTATTATTATATTTCTTGCAGAATTTGCATGATCCCGTCTACTTTTTTCTATTATTTGCGTGAATTTACGGGGTCATAAGAAGTGTGTCTTAGACACTTCCTACTGAGCTTATGCTTATCCCATTATTTTACACATTTTTCAAGATACGAAAAAGAGGTGGCGGACGACAATCCCCCACAAGTTTAGACGAGATTTGAGGCCTATTTTATTTTGCTATCTTTTGTATTAGAACTCTAATATTTTGTAAATGTAATCTTAACTATTTTGTGAAACTTTAATTTAATTGGTATAATATTGTAAGTTATGGACTTTTAAATTTTACCCATATTTTATGGACTGTAACTTGATGTGATTAAAGTGTGTTCCTTGTTTGGATGAGATGGAGGAACGGGACTTTGTATATGTATGTAATCATTTTAGGAATGTGATATAATATTTGTATTGTGCGTTGGGACAAGATAAATTAGTTTTAAGGCCCAGTGAGACCATTGCATTTTTATGTATTTCAACTGGTTGTAGAGGGACTTTTTCTGTGGAGGTCATGCCGAAATTTTATATATTTTATTATTATTATTATATTTTGGTATCTTTTGGGTCGTTACAAATTTGGTATTAGAGTAATGATTCGAATACCATTAGGACGACTGGTAGAGGCATACCTAGGATTGCATGGGAAGTTGAATTGCATGTTTATATGTCTATGTGCAAAGTGTTAAAATTGTTTGAAAGGCATGCTTAAATGCTTATGTGATTACGTGCTAAGTGTTTAAAGTTGATATATATTATTATTATGATTATGTTTATCATTAGTTGCGTATTCCGGAAGTATGGAAGGTG